TAAAATTACACAAAGTCGAGAAAAGCTCTGATACATAAACAGGAAAGGAATTGTGAGACCCATATATGATTTTGACACGTTATTCACATATTGTTTGGTCGGGAGAGCATGATCTACCTATGTTGTATGGTGTTAGCAACCGCAATACGAGATGATCCAATGTTTCATGTACATCCTGAAAATAAGTATTATCTTGTAAATTTTTTATATGCTAATAAACGCGGATATTTAGCTCCTTATCGAAAAGAACATGCGGACAACACAAGATATCAACTTCACGAGTTTTTAAACAATGAACATTTGGGAAACAATAAATAAATGTTTATTAGGGGGCATACGTCATTATGATATGTTATTGGAAGAACGTTTGGGTTTTGGCAATAAATTTCCTAGCTATGATATCGCCATACAAAGAAGTGTTCTAGTCGCTCTAATGCTTTGCATAATTTTATTCGCTCTTAGTGTTTTGTCATCCTTTTAAATATTAAAGGTCCAACAAGGCATTGAAAGTGGTATAATATTGAGGGTCATACAATAGCCCAACAACGTGAAATAAAAAAGCTTTAGTCACATCTACAACATGTGTAGGCTATAGAGATAACATCAACAACGTAACACACTCAGAACCAAGCAAGCGAAGCATCATCGTTTATGTCGTCGTCACCAACGATCTTCCGATCTTTATCATCCGGCAATCCCGTCAACGCTAGCTTTAATCGCCGTTGATGGATGTGAATAATCGCTGCCTTATAGCTTTAAATCCTGCCATATTGATGGACCACATCTACCTTTTCCACACCAATCTTCTTTTGCAAGGACCACTATGGTAGAGAGACCGGAACTCAGCGAAGCCACTAGAGTAATAATTTGCCAGAGATCGAAATTATATTAGTTGTTGAAACGCCTTTACTTAAAATCCCAACCATGCATAATCTGCTCCAAATTCACCATAAATCTCCCATGAACTCGACTCACTGTTATGGAAAGATACTTCACCCATAGCCAATCTAATCGGCCCCTAAAGGAGGGGTGAAGATTTACTCCTCCATAACATAACATGAAACAAATAAATTCGATACGCAAGCGAAAACAGTGAACCAATTCATGAAAATTTATCTTATCTAATGAAGATGAAAGTAAAAACAACAACGAAATAAAACTTAGTCAGAAAAATTACAAAAAAAAAAAGTTCGAACAAGCCGAAAGAAATTCCGATTTAATCAGAACATAAAATCATTTTTTTCTCTCTAGAAGATTAAAGAGAAGGAAGATAGAAAAAAAATTCCCATTATTCTTAGCTACTATCTACCATTCACATTAAAAAAAAAAAAA